ATGCTAAATAACCCCTCTAAACGAAATTTCGGGCAAATCCGTAATCTTGACCCCCCTACCGTAATTCCACCAGATGGCGCTACAGCGTGAAATTAACGTCATATTCCTGTTCAGCGTACCAAATAACCCCCTTAGACGAAGTTTTAGCGCAATTCAGGATTTTTATGTTCTGAGTCAACTAATGTGGAATAGTACCCAAACTTCAAGCAACCTTTTCTTTCCTTTTCCGTTCCCGCTCTTCTCGTCTCTTTTCTTTTTCTTCCAAAATTCGACGAGCTTTCGCTTCCTCTTCAGCACTAAAATATGCTTTACTGCCTAAACTGGAGCGCTAATATACGGGGCTATTAGATATAGCGCTAACATTCGGCGCTTTTCTTCCTCAACTATTCGCCGCCTTTCGGCAAGAATTTTTTCGCGCTCAGCTTGTCGTCGTTTAACAGAAGCATCGCTCAAATGTCGCGTACGATCGAAGTCCACCTGAGAGTACGGTCGCAATCATCCACCACCGCCGATTCATGAAAGAAAAGTTTTAGCAGTGGTGACATCATAATGTTGAAGAATGAAAAATCCCAAACAATGATAGAAACCGATGCATTTAAATATTGAAAATTGGGATAAGAACAATTACTGACCTTGACATTGGCATGGAATACCTTGCCATCAATTTTCTTCGTCCATTTCATATTCTGAAATGACACCATAGCTTGCGCAAAACCAGCGTATTCGGTGTATTGCACAAATGCTTCGAAGAAGACATCCTAGAATAGACTTATATTCGTAATACACAGATACTATTTGATCTAAAGTACCGACCTGACCAAACGAGAAAGCTTTGGGCTTGATACCACTAATCTGTGGGCTCATTTCTTTCCTGAGATCATCAAGAGACGGGATATCCACCAATCGTACTTTCCCAAATGTTTCCATGGCTGTACGGAAAAGGTCTTCGTTCGGCTTATCGCATCCTTTCTCCTAAAGTGTGTATTGCTGGCGCAAATACAGTTTTTAGTGATACACAAGCGTATTTTAGTAATCACATATTTGAGCCATGAGCATTGCAGCAATAGGTTTTCGAACACACTTATATTAGGTGGTCGGTCCAAAAGTTCTGTCGTTCTATTTTCAAAAAAATTGTAACTTCACGCAGCTCAACGGAATGGCTCGCACTCAACTTTATTAGAACTGTTTTGCGGAGCTTCTGTTTCACACTGACTGCAGAGAT